TCCATGAATCTATCTTCAAATTTAGCTTTTGGTTGATGAATTCTAATGTGGAAAATTGGGGGGGTTTGGCCTAAAGTTTCATAATATGAATTTTTCAGTTTTGAACACCGATTTAGAGTCGGATTTGAGTGAAACTACTATGGTTGGACTCGTAATTGAATGGGTTGTCAGATTTTGTGAGTTTTGTCGGGTTCAAAGGTGTGGTCCCGGGTGTGATTTTTGGCTGGATTTGGGATTTGATGTAGAATTTGATCTTTATCATTTTTAATTGCTTCCTTGGGCTTTATCTAATGTATTTGTGTTGCTTGTGGCTAGTTTTGAGCCGTTCGGAGGTCGTTACGCGCGTGATAGCATTCTTGGAGCGTCGCTTGGCTTGCTCGGCGTTTGGAATTGGCTTGTTTGAGATAAGTTACTCTTTTAAACTTAGTGCTAAGGGTATGAAACCACAAATTATATGTTATGTGATTGGTATTGAGGTGACGCATATGCTAGGCGACGGGCGTGTGGGCATGCACCCTGTGAATTGTGTCTCTATTTTTCCATGGCACTGTTTAATGGTCCTATTTTGTTTTCACCATGCGATTAAGTAACTGTGCTATCAAATCATGCTAGATATCCTTTCTAGGCTTTATGATGATATTGTTAGGACCCATAGAGGTCGTTTCTTGCCGTCATCTCATTGATTTCATTGATATTTCATACTCAGTCATATTCATGCATTCATATTATATCTCAGTCTCAGTTGTTGTTTATTGATACATCATATCATTGTTGTCGGGCTAGTTTCATGACATTGTGAGCCCGTGAGTGAGACTGGAGAGATTGATGACTGAGTGAGACCGAGGGCCTAATTGTGAGATATTGATACTATGGCACGTGAGTTGTCCGCGCGGATTCTGATCTTGATACTATGGCACGTGAGTTGTCCGTGTAACACATGAGTTGTCCGTACAGATCCAGATATTGATGTTATAGCACGTGAGTTGTCCGTGCAGATTATAGTGCTTGGGCTGTAGGAGCCCCTCCGGAGTCTGCACACCCCCAGTGAGCGCAATCGACTATGTATGTGTTTATGGATTGGGTTGCACGCTGCAATGATTACTGTACAATGCTGAGTGATTGAGTGTACTGAGTATTGAGCACGGTAAGAGATAACGCGAGACACTGAGGTTGAGTACTCATAGAGTGTGAGTACATGAGTTCATCATCGAGAGGCATTTCATTTGACATACGTACTTGAGATATATGCATAGAGTTGCATTTTCTTTGCTGGCCGATTTTGGTGACATTCGTGATTTTACCTGTATCTTGTCATGTAAGGATAGAGATGTACTTTCTTCATGCCTTCTGAAAATGAAGCATTTACCCGATGAAAAGTTTTTGGGAAAAATTACAGTTTTCAAACTTACTCATATGTTTGACGATTTCGGTAAAGGATTTGAGTTTTCACTGATATACTTGAAAAGCGGAACTGTTTTTTAAAAAACTGTAAAAAAGCTGAACTTTTTATCTGTGAGCTACTTCTTTATTTACTTGCTTTACATTGTTATGAACTGCTATTGGTTATTGTGTTGGACCCGACCTATGTTCCAGCTCGTCACTACTTTCAACCTAAGGTTAGGTTAGTTACTTATTGAGTACATTGGGTCGATTGTACTCATACTACACTTCCTGCACATTGCGTGCAGATTTCGGATGCCGATATTAATGTGCATGGCAGGAGCTGGATTTGAAGGAGTACATGCGTCCCTGTTGTAGCTGCCTCTTGTTCATGGTAGTCTTAATTTTTTAAAACTCTGTTGATGTACTTTTCAAACAGAAGATGTATTTTCTTCATATCAGCTTTGTAAACTCTATTCATAGAAGCTCATGATTTGTACTACCACTCCTTGGAAAATGTATAAGAATCAGATAATTCCTTTGTTTAATTATTTTATTACGTTAATCGAAAATGGATAATTGTTAATTGGCTTACTTAGCGGGTTGAGTTAGGTGCCATCACGACTAGTGAATTTCGGGTCGTGACATCATATCTCATCTGCGTCCTGATTACGTTGCTTCTTTATTACCCATTTACTACTCGCTGCCATTTGTATTTTTATTATTTCATTGTTGGTTGTAAATCAAAAATCTTTTTGCAGTTAGCCTTGCGTTGATGTTCTTTCCATTGTTAACTTTATGTATATCTTGCACAGGTTTCTATGTCTAGTAGGTGTCTCGACCTGGCCTCGTCACTACTCTTTCGAGGTTAGGCTTGATACTTACTGGGTACTGTTGTGTTGTACTCATGCTATGCTTCTGCGTAGATCTGTGCATATCAAGTTACTTCTTATCGTGTTGGTTAAAGTGGCGTCTGCGCGCCTAGAGACTTCAAGGTACACCTGCTTGACGTTCGCAGACCTCAGAGTCACCTTCTTCTATTTCTTTACTATTCTTTATGTCAAACAAAGTTATATTTGGAAACTACTAGTGCACTTCTCTATAGAGCTTATGACTCAGTTTTACCGGGTTTTGGAAATATTTTAATTGTTATTCATCATTTGATGTAATATGAGACTCATCAGCTTTATTTAATGATTCTCCGTTGTTATTTTTGCCAGATTCTCTTGTTTGTTAGGCTTACCTAGTATAGAGACTAGATGCCATCACGATATTCTAAGGTGGGTGTTTTGGGTTGTGACAGTCATGTCCTTGGTAGGCTGAAGTAGTGTCATGTCCTGCCTAATCACCTCTTCTCAATACTTCTTAGGCCTCCCTCTACCCCTCCGCTGACTCGCGATGGTCAGCTTCTCACACGTTCTAACTGGGGCCATCGGTATCTCTTCTCTTCACATGCCCGGACCATCTCATCCTCAATTCCTGTAACTTGTCTAATTTGATATACTCACTCATCCATCTCAACATTCATCTCTGCTATTTTCATCTTCTGGACATGAGATTTTCTGACTAGCCAACACTAAGCACCATATAACATAGTTGGTCGAATTCACACTCAATAGAACTTACCCTTAAGTCTAGGTGGCATATTCTTATTGTACAAAACACCAAAAGATAAATTTTCTTAATCATCATTATTAAAAATTTTGAGTTCATATTTTCAAAGTTGAATCTGAAAATCGTGAATCCTATTGATTGTTAGTTGATGAACTAAAATTTGTTGTTGCATTAAGAGCTTAAATCGTGGTCAGAACTGGTTTTGCAAGATTTGGGTGGTAAAAATCATATTAAAAAGGTACCCACTATTATTGAACAAATTTGAAGAAGTGGGTTTGAATGTCGAATATGATTTTTTGAGAAATTTGGAGTGTTGTTGTTTAAACTTATTGACAATATTTATGGAAGTTGTCCGCAAAATCTGAAGTCATTAGGTAGAGATTTGAACTGATTTTGAGCAAAAATTAGAACTAGAAACACAAAAGAAGTTCGTTATTGTAGCTAGCTAGCGGCATTTATACACATTTAGGCATTATTATCCATTTTTATATAAGATTGATTCATAATTATACATCATAAAAAAACACGTAGTTATACACTATTCTACACTTTTGTACAAAGATAGGTATATTACTTATTAATTATATCGGTGTATAAATGTATAAGAGTATATAAATATTATTGCAAAAAAGACGTTGGTTATACGGACATATGAAAGCAATGTGTCGTTTTGAGCTATATATTTGTACAAATTTCCCTTGGAAGGGATCATGCTATGCAGAAAGCCTATAAAAAGGCGCAAAGACACAAACACCAATGTAGAATTACAGGTCTATTTCATGGCCTCAAAATTGCAGTTACTGCGGATATGACACATTGGAAATCGTACTAAATTCAAAAGAGGTTTACGTGAACATATTTGACGGGCACGACAAAAAAAAAATGAAGATTTTTGTAATTTGTGGTCTAAACAAGTCAAAAAGGGGTCAGACTATTTATGTGATCATAAAAGTTTCTCATTAAGGTTAAAATTGTAAATTTAAGCTAAATTGTTACCGAATTAAGAAATGGATCATTCTTTTTGAAACGGACCAAAAATCAAATAGGTTCACATAAAGTCATAAACTGGAACGGAGGGAGTAACGTCCATATTCCATATATGTAGTTCTAACGTCTAACGGTCCCTTCAACATGCGAATAATTGCAGGTACGTGCTCGTAACCAGGGTAATTCGCAAATAGAACACAATTACTAGGAGGAAATATACGGTAGAGGGTAATCTAAACCAAATATGGAAGCAACCAAGTCAGTAGAACTAAGAATTACCTTTTATAAAATTGTATCCCTCTTTGTAAAAGCAAAAGTCTTGTATAATGTACTTCAATGCACAGAACCATGCTCCCTATAAATTGGTGTGGAGGAAAAGATAGGTTTATGAAATAGTCCCATTGAATCGTCTCATGACTTATTTTTTATGCCATATAACATCATTTTCTATCCTTCATCATACTTCTGTGTGACCACTAAGAATTGCTTATATACTAAACAATTGTTTATACAACTATTAACCAAACAATTGTTTATACAACTAACTTTCATTTATTATCATTAGTCGGGCGTGTATATCCATGAAACAATATATTCCTTTTGAACGAATAAAGAGCTGGTATTCTAACACATCTGCTTTCCAAGTAAGTTGTCGCCTTAGAAAATATTACTATATCTCCTGTAAATAGTTAAGGATAAGTTGTATATAGTGATGTGTGAAAATATTTTATGCAGATGTAATTTAATTTATAATAGCACGTTAGCTATTGTATATATGCACATTATTAATTATTAAATATCAATTATAAAGTTCTTGTAATTACTTTATAAATAATCTATTGAATAAATGCAATTGTACCATTAATAATGAATAGAACTAAATTAAACCCATAAACAGGAGTACTGTATGGTGTGCCATAATTTAAGTTAGTTTTAATTAAAACGGAAATTTAATGGAAAAGAAAGAATACGCAGAATGCATGCGTTTCCTTTCTTTTCAATAACGAAAAAAATGATTAGATCCCCAAGTAACGATAATCAAACTGTATTATCTCGTAAATACATATTTATATACACCATTCTACATCTCTTGGAATTTAGTTCAACTACAAAATGTTCAATTCTCAAATGTAACATGAAATCTCTTGAATCTTCTACTCTCATTCTTGCAAGAAGAAGATTTAATCTTTGTCAACTCTATACCTTCTCCTATAGGCATAGTGACGCACTCGATCCCTTTCTTGCCTTTCAAGATTTCACCAAAACAAACCTTTTTTGTACTTCCAACAACATCATTATTTCTCGTTACAACCACACACCCTTTTGGATTCACTTCAAGATTATTCTTCCATAATTTCAAATGGTCTCCAAATTTACAATCAATCACTAAAAAGTCAACTTTCTTGAACTTTTTGATTACTTCATTAGGGTTCTTCCCAACTACAAACTCAATCACATTGTTGAGTTCTTGATGGTGTGGTTTTAACTCAAAGTTGTTGCTTGTTTTCATCATGTCTTCACGGTGGTGGGGGAGAACGCAGACTAGCCGGCCGCCGGTTAGCTTCGCCGCCACGGCAAGGGCGATTGTGAATGGAGTTAGGCCTTCTGTGCTGATTTCTAAAATTACTTTTGATCGATTTCCGGCTGCTAAAGCTGATATGAACTCCACACATTCTGGTTCTATCAGCTTTGTGGCTTTAATATTGGTGCAATCTTGATGATGAAGGGTTTTAGACTGAAAAATAAAAGTGAGAAGTGTTAACGCTCGCAAAATGAGAAGTGTTAAAGGCAACGAAGAAAATAAAAAATAAAATGGAATTTTACTTATGTACATCAGTATAAAGAATTGTTACATATCAATATATTTTTACATATTGAGCATAACATACCTTATTTTCACTTTACTCATGATTTCACTTTAACGGATACTTATGCATGTGTAATTATTTTTGAGATAATCTACTAGATTGTATAAAAGATCTTTAAGTATAGGTTCTTTTACAACGTTATGTTAAATTTATCTACAACAAGTAATTAACTAAGACTGAAATGCAATTACTTAGAAAATAAAGTCTTAATGAATAGTTATGCGCGTACAATTATCTTTTAGGTCATCTGCAGATTGTATAAAAGGTCTAATTTGTGTATAAGTTCTTTTTATATACAACAAGTGATTAACTCCTCATAACAAGCTTCCCTGATATATGACAATTACGAACAAAATAGAGCAATAACCTTATCTCTATAAGCTACCTAAGTCAAATAACTTAAAAAAAGGAAATCACAACAAGCGAGAATACCAATTGAAGAGTATCCAAATAAGCTTCCATGGCTTGTTGAGGAGACCACTCCATTACGTAACGAAGTGAAGAAAAACCAGCTTAGGCTGCTCTCGAGGAGTGAGATTAATTAATGGCATAACGAAAGTCAATCTATTTATAGGTTAAGGGGAAAGATGGCGTTCGTGTGAAGTCACAACACTTGCCACCTTTTGAGATTCGTGGCATCAGTGTGACAATTATGTGCATGTGACTTTGCTTCCAAACAAGAAGAGAATTTAAGAACGAGAGGTTTCTTTTTTTGGGTGAGAAGGGACACTTGTCAATCTGAAAATATGCATGGTAAGACATGGGAAAATGGGGGATTCCATCCATTGTGGAGTTCGAGGTTTTGTCTATATTCAATTAATAGTAAGATCCAAAGAATCTTTGTCCTTTTGTGGAGGCTTTTTGGTTTGGCATTTTTTGTTTTCCAAGTTATTCGTTATGTGGGCATCACGGTGGGTTAATGTGCATACATTGCACCTACGTTGCACCTTGTCGATGAATGTCGTGCTTCCTTTTTCTTTTTTAATCAATATACTTCTCTTTTACCATTAGTTTATGAGTTGCTTTAGTTAGCTAAGAGGTATAATCATATTGCAAATTATAGTAACAACCAAAGACGAGGTGCTCGCTCATGTAGCAAGAATGAATTATCTCAGAAATGTCTCACCCTATTTTATTTACTTTATTCACGCTTGAGGCTGATACCAAATTTTCACAACATAAAATCCCAACATGTTGTGATGTCACCTAACATACCGGCTAGGCAAGTCGGAACATGATAACTAAGGCGACATAATAACAAAATTCATAAAAAAAACATAAACCTGAGGTCTTAATACAACAAATACTGCTAATACAAGTAAATCCCCCCAGGAACTGATAAGTACGGAGTCATGAGCTACTACAACGGAATACAAGTCTGAAACTGAACAGTAAATACACTGTCTGAACAATAATAACAGTACAAAAGAAAAAGACAAGTCAAACTACGACCAAGGATGCAGCTCTACCTCACCTTGAGCAGATAGCCCAACAAGCAACCTATTGTTGATAACCGGTCCCCACACCCTAGGGGATGAATCCGTTTCCACACGCTGTACGGACAACTCACGTGCTGCACGGAAAATTCACGTGCTAATAACACAATCTGCCCCGTATGGTCACATGCACAACAACACAATTCGCCCGGCGTGGTCACAGACCTGCAGTCCAAACACATCATATAGGAGCAATTAAACATGTATACATGTATGAAACAAGTGAATATCAAATCTCATGCTCCTTGACAGGTATAAACGACATGCTAAAGTGTAGGCATGTGTAAGTGTACTATCATAGCTTAAACCGGCAATTTCAGCGAAGAATAACATTTATTAGTTCATTTAGAGATTAAGCCCCTACGTAGTCTCAAGCATAAAATAGTTCACAACAATGTTACAAATGTGCGAAGCATCATAGCTTAAGGTAACAGTCAAATTCTAGGCTTATAAGAGCCCGAGCATGAATAAATAATCCTTGTACCCGCATATGGGTTCATCCCTACGCATGTGCACACCCAATAGCACGTAACTATCACACAATTCAGGCAACTAGTGCCTCAACCTAGTATAAATAAGATACTTACCTCAAACAAATTAAATCACTCCGCTAGCAGCCCTTTCCCACGCGTATCAACCCCCAGAAGGCTCGAATCTAGCAAAAAATAACGTACTACTATCAATATAACCTATAGGAATTGATTTCAAATGATAAAGCTAACTTCTTTAACCAAAGTCAGAAGTCAACCCAAAAAGTCAATCCCAGGCCACGTCTCGGAATCCGACAAAATTAATAAAATTCGAACACCCATTCAATAATGAGTCCAACAATACCAAAATTACTCAATTCCGATCATAACTCGACCTCCAAATCCTCAAATTAAAGTCTATGAAGTTTCTACAATATTTCAAACCCAAAACACTTACTAAATGGTAAAAACAATGATAGATTCATCATGTATATTAACCAAATCCGAGTTGGAATCACTTACCCCAATCAATACCTTTAAAATCCCCTCAAGAATTTCCCAAATCCGAGGTCTGTAGCTCAAAATATGAAAAATGGGTTCAAACCCTCGTTTTTAAAATTTAATACTGCTGCCCAGAGGTTCCTCTTCGCGAGCGTGAAGCACAAAATTCAAGCTGCCAAAACTATCCCTTCGCGGACGCATGAATACAGTTGCGAACGCGGAACTCAATCCCCAGCAACCATTACGAAAGGGTTCCACAACTAGCGAACATGAAGAGCAACTCCCTGATGCGCCCCCTCCAATTCCTTATATGCGATCGCGTATACCCCCACGCGAGCGCGAAGACAGTAGTTCTCAAAGCCACGCAGACGGGTTTGCCCCCTTGCGACCGCGAAGAACAAATGTGCCGCTTCCTCAGAACACTACGCGAACACGATTGCTTCATCGCGATCGCGATTAAAAACTCCAAAAGCACAGGCATCAGCAACTTGCAAATCTTCTAAGTCCAATTTCAATGCGTTAACCATCCGAAATCCACCCGAGGCCCCCGGGACCTCAACCAAACATACCAACTAGTCCTAAAAAATGACACGAACTTAGTTGAGGCCTCAAATCACGTCAAACAATATCAAAAACATAAATCACACCCCAATTCAAGCCTAATTAAGCTAATGAATTTTTAACTTCTACAATCGAAGCCGAAACCTATCAAACCAACTCCGATTGACCTTATATTTTGCAAACTAGTCATAAATTACACAACAGACCTATTCCAATTTCCGAAATCAAAATTTAAGCCCGGTAATAACAAAGTCAACTCACAGTCAAACTTCTCAACTCTCCAAACTTCTATTTTTCCAACTTTCGCCAATTCAAGCCAAAATCATCTATGGACCTCCAAATCAATATCCAGACACACTCCAAAGTCCAAAATCATAATATGCAGCTATCAGAACCACCAAAACTCCATTCCAGAGTCGTTTACTCATAAGTCAACATCCCGTCAAGTCTTTCAACTTAGGCTTCCTACCTTGGGACTAAGTGTCCTAATTCATTTCGAAACATCTCCGGATCCAAACCAACAACCCCGGCAAGTCACATAACGAGAAATGAGCATAGAATAAACAATAAATGGGGGAATGGGGCTACAATACTCAAAATGACCGGCCGAATCGTTACATTCTCCGCCTTTTAAACAAATATTCGTCCTCAAACGGGTCTAGAATCATACCTGGGGTCTCAAATAGGCATGTATATCTACTCCTCATATTTCGCTCGATCTCCTAAGTAGCCTCCTCGACTGGCTGACCCCTCCACTGCACCTTCACTGACGCTATATTCTTTAACCTTGACTTCCGAACTTGTCGTTCAAAACTGGCCACGGGCTCCACATCATAAGTTAAATCCCCATCTTACTAAACCGTGCTAAAATCCAAAATATGAGACGGATCGCCGAAGTGCTTCCAGAGCAGGGAAACATGAAATACTAGATGAACACTCGATATACTAGGTGGCAATGCAAGCTTGAAAGCCACTTCCCCCAATCATCTCAAGCACCACAAGAGGGCCAATATACCGAGGGTGTAACTTGCCCTTCTTCCCGAACCTCATAACACACTTGCCTAGCCTCACCGGGCGCAAACCAACCAATCGGAGACCGATACCTCCTCATATACAAGGCCTCATACGGATCCATCCGAATACTCGATCGGTAGCTATTGTTGTAGGCAAACTCAGCAAGTGGCAGAAACTGATCCCAAGAACCTCTGAAATCCATGATTCAAGCACGTAGAATATCCTCAAATGTTTGTACTCAACTTAATCCGTGTTCCTAACTCTCGTTGTACTGCTCTCCAAAACTATGATGTGAACTGCGTGCCCTGATCTGAAATGATGGACACAGGCACACCATGAAGGCGGACAATCTCACGGATATAGATCTCAGCCAACCGTTCTGAAGAATAGGTAGTCCCAACTGGAATGAAATATGCGGACTTCGTCAACTAGTCCACAATCACCCAAATAGTATAAAACTTCTTCAAAGTCCGTGGAAGCCCAACTACGAAGTCCATGGTGAGACGCTCCCATTTCCACTCCAGAATCTCAAGCCTCTGAAGCATACCGCCCGGTGTTAGATGCTCGTACTTCATCTGATGACAATTCAAGCAACAAGATACAAACACTAATATGTCTTTCTTCATCCTCCTCCACCATTTGTGATGCCTCAAGTCCTGGTATATCTTTGCGGCACGATGAATGGAATACCGCGAACTGTGGGCCTCCTCAAGAATCAACTCACGTTGCCCATCCATATTGGGCACACAAATCGGACCCTGCATCTACAACACCCCATCATCCCTAATTGAAACCTCTGTGGCATCACCGTGCCCTTAAGGACAAGCAAATAAGGGTCGTCATACTGGCGCTCTCTGATGCAATCATATAAGGAAGATCGAGAAACCACACAAGCTAGAACCCGACTAGGCTCCGAAACCTCTAACCTCACGAACAGATTGGCCAAGGCCTGAACATCTGATACAAGCGGTCTCTCACCAACAGGAATAAATGCAAGGCTACTTATACTCACCGCCTTCCTACTCAAGGCATCGTCCACCATATTGGCCTTCCCGGGATGATACAAAATGGTAATATCATAGTCCTTTAGCTGCTCTAACCATCTCTGCTGCCTTAAATTTAGATCCTTTTTCTTGAACAAGTGGTAGAGACTCCGATGATCCGTAAATACCTCATATGACACACAGTAGAGATAATTCTTCCAAATCTTCAATGCATGAACGATGGTTTCCAACTCCAAATCATGAACAAGGTAGTTCTTCTCATGAGGCTTCAACTAACGTGAAGCATAAGAAATCATTCTACCCTCCTGCATCAAGATACACCCAATACCAATCCGAGAAGCATCATAATACACTGTATAAGAACCCGATGCTGAAGGCAACACTAAACTGGAGCTATGGTCAAGGTAGTCTTGAGCTTATAAAAGCTCTCCTCACACTCATCAAACCACTTGATTGGAGCACCCTTCTGGTTTAACCTCATCAAAGGCGCTGGAATGGATAAGAAACCCTCCACGAAGCGACGATAATATCCGGCCAAGCCGAGAAAACTCCGAATCTCAGTAGCCGAAAATGGTCTGGGCTAACTCTGAATGACCTCAATCTTTTTCAAA